TGTTACCCCTCCCAAACCACCCCCCTGTCTGCTCCCCCGATCCTTCCCCACTGCCTGCCCGCTCCAAGGTTCCATGCTCGTCCCGTAGCTGCACATTGGACTTCAGGGCCGTCATCAGTTCTTGATCCACCTCCATCTCCCCCAATTGCGACAGACCCGAGCTAGGCTCCGTGCTTGGAGCTCCACCCCCCCTCTCCTCCTTCTCCTTGATATCCAAAGCCCTGTCATACGACTTCAGCAACTCCTGGACCGCCCCCTCGCTCGACGCATCTTCCGTGCCCCCCCCTGCATTCTCCCCGCATTTAACCAATGCAATTCCCCACTCGCTTTCAATGGACTTACTTTTAAGAATCCCCCCCCCGCTTTCAACCGATGCAGGGACCTTCGTCACATCACCCCTGTTGACCTGATGTGACTCATCCCCCCTTACCCCATCCTTCCCCCCCTGTCTATCGCCTCCCCCTTTCTCACTTGCAAGCACGGCGTCATCTTCATTGTTGTCGACGTCTGACTCGACTCCCCCCCCTCTCGGCCTGCTATCCACAACCCCCACTTTACTGTCGACCACCCCTCGTTCCTCGTGTTTCTCCGAGCCCCCAAACGCCTCCCACGAGAGAATCTCTGAAAGGACGTCGAGGCTTGCAAGCCGCGACAGCTTGCGGGGCTCGTGGACACCAAACTCATTCACACCAAGCTTATTCGCACCATAGAACCCGTCCCCCCTGGCCTCCGCTGCCAAGGCTGCCTCCACCTCTGCCAGCATGGCATCCCCCAATTGGTCCAACTGCTCTGCGACACCGGTCCCCACAAGTCCTTGAGAATTGACATTACCAGCCCTAGATGCAGACTCTACTTCTGGGGGCCCTGTTTCTGCAGCGTGCCGGCACGAACTGCTGCGGGAATCAGCATCAGTGTCGACAGGTCCCTGACTCCTGGCAGGCTCAAAAGCTTCTGGCCGCATAGGTCGAGAACTAGCAGCGGCAGACTCGGGTTCGCTGTTATGCAATGCTGTTGGTGCATCCTGTTCAAAGGTGAGCATGCGGTCGCTACTATTAGTCATGCTGCTTGTCACAAGCCCAAGGATTAAAGTCCTCATGTCTAAGCTACTATTGCCTACGCGCTGTGGTGTCTACACATGGTGGTTCCAGGCTGCACCCCATGATGCAGCTGGTAACTCAGAAGTCAACGTCTCACGATGTGTCAACATCCACTAGGCATCTGCAGAACAACAACATGCTTAAGCATTATGCAGGAAGTTGCTTGACATGTCAAGAAGCTTCCACTAGACAGGCCACCCAACAGAAGATAGTAAGCCAGGAAGGAAAGCGACATAAATAAACTCCCAGATTGCCACCTTCGAGAGAGTCACAAAGACAGGGATTGGAAACTTAAGATAAGGTGACAATGCTATAATCAGCAAAAGTACAACAGCTCTGACAGTTCATTGCACGTATTGTGCTGTACTAAAGTTCCTATTGCTTTGTGCAGAGCTACTCCAATCGAACCAGTCCTAATGGTTTCCTTTGTCCTTGAAATCAAATGCACTAGGAACACACCCTCTGATGGATCTCGAAAGTGCAAGTAGGGCAGCATCTGACTCAAAGACACCATGATCCTGCCTGACACGCAACTTCAACTTTCTTCGAAGAAGGGGGTTCTCAGATGCTTTGGCACATAAGCTGATGCTGTCGCAGTAAAGGCATTGTTATTGGAGAAGAGCACCCTGCTCAACTTGCCTGTGATTGATTCTGAACACCCAGCCGTTTCCATTTGGGTGGGGCTATTGCAATTGATCACGGACATGAAATGAGACATCCACAACCCCCTTCCTGCACTGTTGCAAAAAGGAGCAAGGAAAAGAAGGCATGAACAGATTGCTGCAAGAGCTCAGGGAAAACCCTTCAAGCTCAACAGCATTTCCCTTTCTTTGGGGTTGGGGAAGATCCTGCAGCCGCGACTGCACAGCTACAAAGACAACCACTGGTTTGCAATCAAACAACCGTGATGCACGACTAACTCACCTGTGTCTGGGAGAGCTGTCTCAATGCAAGCGCGACCAAAGCCCCTGCTTCCACAATGCTGAAGAACACGCAGTGGCCTGCAGGCTTCAACCCAACTTCCAAACTTCCTCCAAAGTTGACAGCTTGTTGCCGTGGAAGTTCTACTGAAAAGGGCCCATTCTTTCTATCCACAAACCTTTCCTTGTCCACAGACGCGTGCGCAGCTTCTCCCTACAGCGTCCAAGGCAGCGGGCAAAAGGATCCGGATCTGACAAGACCCACAGCCTGTAGCCTCACAAGCTCGAGCCTGGGTCGTGACTCGTAACCAGCTCATGTGAAGTCCTTCTTTTTCCATCTTGAACCGAGCACTACCAAAACGCTGGTGTCAATTTATTTGCTAAAATGTCTAATCTGGGGTCATAATTTACCCTTGCCATCCGTTATGTAACCCCCAAGATTCGACATGTTTGAACTTGACACCAAACACTGTCGGTGGAAAGGGACCTTCCGCAACCTCGGAAACGCATCGTTCATGCACGGTTCGCAATGATCTGCATGCAGAAGTGACTCGGAGGTATCGGAAAGATTTTCTTTCTTACCGGCTCCTGATTGGCTGTGGTCAAGCAAAGGGTTGCATGTCGGAAACGTAGTCTTGACAGGCGTCGCTTTTTGGGGCTTCGCATCCAATGGAGAAACACCGCAAATGGGATTCCTTGCTTGATGCCGCCATCTGTCAAACTTGCGACCAATGGTGAAGAAAATATCTTGTGGTTGATTGTGCACCGTGCTTTTAGTTCCCCGGGGCCCGGGGCCCGGGGCCGCGCCGGGCCCGGCTGGGCCCGGGAGACTGTACAGTGTAGTCCCAAAAACGTGTACAGTGGATTCGAAGTGCTACGCAGTCCATCGCACGGTTCTATTGAACGTCGTATTGCCGTATTCTCAGTGCGTAGTACTGGCGTACGAATGGACGAAGGACTTGAAAGGAGCTTCGAAGACGGCAATGTGGCAGTCGGGACTCAGAATGCGCTGTACCCAGTCGTTTCCCACCCGGTATTGTACCTGGTTTAAGTGGTGACCTTTGTTGTACCGGTCACTTGGACAATACCTTCCGAAGTTCAACCTTCCGGCGTCCCACTTTCTTTACTTGCGTTAGATTTTGTGTGCCAGTTGTGCATCCTGACGTCATTCTCATCAAAACGTCATAAGCAATGATGGGCATTTGCGAGTCAAATCATAGCTACGGTATGTCT